GTCAGTTTTGGGAAGTCCGAAATCGCCAGCGTCATTGCTCCGGAGTGACCACCGACCAATACAAAACATAAGTCAACTAAGAGACTAAGGAGTGTCATGTATGAGAGGGGAATGAAAGGTTTCGCTAGGAATGAAGAAATGAATTATTGGGAAGTCTGGAGTTTTTTTGGGTTATTTCTCGAAATACATCTTCTCCTGAAGACCGACGTCTGCTACAGAAAGCAGTCCTCAAGACGAGTTCCAATAAGTTGTGTCAACCCAAGAAGTCCAGCCCGGAAGAATCGTGTCAATGGAAACCGCGCTTGACAGCTTCTTAGCCCAACTCACCCGCGTGCCGCTGGCGCCAGTTCCAGTGTTGCCATATTCCGCATAGTAAACGTTGGCGGTGGGGTTAGTGCCCCAAGCAGACCACCCAACAGGCTTCACGACATCGCTGAGCTGTGAGTTCTGGACGACAACGCGTGCGTATTCCCTCCACGGCCTGCCCAGCACCGTAGACTCCTTGGCGACACCGGCACCTGACTTCGCTGCAATTGTGGCCTTGTTGATCACGTACCAGTAGGCGTCGGCGCTATCGCGACCACTCGCAGTGATGTATCCGGCACCGTTGATAGCGATCGTGCACTTTTCAAACCACGCGTTGCCATCGTTGCCAAAGATGAAGTCGGTCGCACCCTCGATGTAGCTGTTCTTATAGACTTGGTGAGGCTTGTTGGTGTAAATCGTGTCCTGGTAACCGACGAAGCTGCAGCCGTAGTACGCTTGGTATTGGCCATTTGCAGAGATGGCTAGAGCTTGAGAGCCCTTGCCATAGCCATTGATCAGATTGACGTTGTAAAGGCTGAAGTAGCTAGTCGCAACTCTCAATGTTGCGGACAAGTCGTTGCTTCCAGCATCTGCAGCTGAGAGGGTGTTGGTCAAGGTGACTTGGTTCTTGGTGTAGTCTTGGTCGTTGGTAGTGTATGCGTAGATTATAAGCTTTCCACTCAGGCTGGGAATGGAAATTTGTCCAGAGTAAGTGCCCGGCTGGATGAAGATTGTGGTAGTTGCGGTGGAGCTGGCCGAAATGGAGTTGATAGCTGCTTGAAGCTTTGGTATACATCAGCCACGCGACGGCATAACAGATCGATACGTACGAGCCTAGAGACCGTAACACCGTTGGTTTGAATCAACTTTACTCACCGTAGTGTATTGGCCTCCCGACTTAGCAACGACGATGGCGCCTGATGGTGGCGATGTTCGTGAAGCAGCAAAAGCATTGCCTACTAAAACCGCGAAGGCTGAGAGTACGTTAAAAACCTTCATGTTGTCGCCGAGACTATTTTTTATAACTTTCAACTCTGTAGAATTTCCGGTTTGAAGGTAGGATGGAAATGTTCCAAGATTTTGGGGCTTCTATGTCTTATAAACTTTTGACGCATGATACCATTACCCTAAAGTATCATCACTACGCGTGGCGTGTTAAACAGGTTCTCAAGATGAAATCCTTGGCTGCATAAAAATAAATCACACAGAACCGCCAATCGATCCAGAATTGACCACACGGTTCAAATCCCTTTGAACGAATGGTCCTTACTATATCTATGGCGGGGCTCGGGGGCAAGGAAATAGGTGGACTAAAATTCTCCGCCGGCATGCAACCACCCTTCCTGTTTTTCCCCGCCACATGGAGTTTCTCCGAAGCTAATTACGGCCTCCTTGTAGTATTCCCATCCACAATGCGCTCTCCATGCGCTCTCCGGACTCATGAACCCTAAATAGAACGTCGCCCAGAGGGGGGGCCAGTGGCGTACAAATGACTTGAAATACGGGATTGAGCCTTTGCGACGAACGAAATTGAGTTACATCTTGTGCCTGTTATTCAGCCTTCTCAAGCTGTCTGATTTATTGTGTTCTTGACTTGATGCTTGTGGGATAGTGAATGAGCAAGGAGAGCATACATATCTCATGGTTGGCACATCCATCACTATATCAATGGGTCGTTGAAGATGATTTTAGTAAGAAATACATTCTCAAAGAAAGTCAGTCAGTACGGTGCGGCTCAGTCTCCTGCCTGCTCGAGTTTCTGTTCTGTCACTTTTAAATATCAGAAAATGTCATTCTAGCAACGAGAAGGGGCAGTGGCCTGAAAGAAAGGAAGATCTGTTCAAAGCGCACTAGTGTTGCCACTATATACTTGAAATGTTTAGCTCCGAAGGTATTCTGCCTGTTGTTTTTGAGTCAGAGGTCAAATACGTAAGTCAGCAGACAGCCTGGGTATGAAATCGACATGTAGGGTAGGCTAGTCAAAGGCACACCTTGTGCTCAAGAACAACCAATTACGCGGTACTTCGGTCTTGCCAAGAATGGAATGTCTTTATCACGTAACCTTAGTATTATTGGAAGAAACTTCATCTAAGTTGTCAGCGCACCAGTTGGCAGTTTTCCATCATCTAAGTTGTGAAAGTATGCTCAACTAAGTCCACTGGAAAAGTGAAAACGAGTCTAACCTTTATAAGAGGCAGCGCATAACAACCAGAAAGCATGGATCATTAAAGGCAGACATGGGGGGGAGCAGCAGTGAACGGATCCGTCTCTCACTACCTGAGCACGCGTCTTGTCCTCCCGGAAACTTGTCATACGAGTTGTGAAACACCGAGTTTCATAGAAGAATCGCTGAAATGTTCCAATCTCAAAACGTAGTGTGCTTCAGTGATCACCATCCAATTCATTAGTCCTTGCCAGTTTACTCATTGACGTTCTGTGCCGAAGCCGGTAACTTCGCCAGACTTTGCCTCCAGGGCCTCGACTATTAAACTACATGTATGCACGTGAAGAAAATCAATCTTGCACTCAAGGGTTTTCACAATACGGAAGTTGTAAAGTATAGACTCACAGGGCGGCACATGATGGCTTGGCGTAATAGATCAAAGCAGTGGCCAAAATAGTGTATATCATGAGAAGAATTGGTATCGGTGGTGGAATCTCTGCCGTTGTGATCTTGATGGACGGGGAATGCGATGCATCTTGCTGATTACCTTTAATGTATGGGTGAAGCTCGTAAAGTACTATGCAAAACATATGATGACAGTGGATCTGATGGAATACAGCGAATTAGCTAATACTACATGTGATAGCATGTTGTTTGAAGAAGCCGCCTTCTTTTGGGATCACAGAAGACCACGCCATGTCGACATTAGTGGAAGACGGCATCGCGTAGTCTTCGCCCTAGTCGAATACTCATGGCTTAATTCTTAGAACTTCTACTCACACTTTTTGGTAGATTTTCAACAACCATTCAAGGCTTGAAATTTGTCACGAGTTATGGCATGCAACAATGGGCATATGAAGTGAGTTGAATATGGCTTGAATCAACTATCTAGAACGAAGAAAAGGGAGCAATCTATATACTGAGCGAATGTAAGAACCACGTGAGGTAGCACGTGACAGAGTGACGGATGATTGCTGGTATCGTTCCTGTTTCGTCATAAAATCCCAAGGTACTTATCGCAATCTCTTAGTCTTGCAAGTTATCGATTCTCGAGGAGAACTGTGAAAACCCCAAGATCTCGAGAAATAGAGAACATAAGTGATAAGTGCAATTATCAGCCATGTCAAAAGCTTTTCTGGCGCTATCAGTTTCGGGCCAAGCGCTTGTAGTCAACATGGAATCGTCGACCGGAGCTGTTGATTAATCGAGTAGTAAAACGCAAATAACTGTCGTCAGCCCCACTAACTCCTCCCACGCATGTTGGCGCTTAAATGACTTCTGTGGAGTCTTACAACCACTTGCGCCGCTGCATGAGTACACGCACATTCCAGTGCAGGATTAGTATATTCGTTGGATGTCGGGGCAAAGCAAACAGGCAGGGGTGCTGGAGTTGTTGGACCCTCGGATGGGCCCCGATCAAACATATATAAAGCAGTGCTGAGTCTCCCAACCGGCGGTTTGTCCATCATCGCCTTGTTGGTTACCAATTGAAATTATTACCATAGGCCAATGGAGGCTAGCTGATAATTGTAGCGCAGCAACGAATCGCATTTCTACCTGTATCATTTGACTCTACGAATTCGATCCCAGTATGGCGCTACAGGACTCGTCACGACATGGTTCCGTGCTCGTGATCAGAACTCCGAGGCTGATCATCCGCACAGCTGTCCAGTCAGATGCGGAGAATTTGCTCAATTTTCTCCAGACGCCCGACAACTTTCCCTTCCAAGAGTCGGAAAAGAATCTGACTATAGAGAGAATTCGCACCCGCATCGACAAGTTTATCGATTTTACAATCAACGGAAAGAACGGCTGGGTTGTGGCCATCATCCGTGAGACCAACAAGGTGATCGGCAATGGTGGTTACAACACCTTCGAGACCGTTGACCCCGCTGAATTTCTCGCCGGCAAGACTACACTTCCATCGGGAGATAGACGCATGACGGACCTCGGCATCAACATCGATCGCCGACATTGGCGTAAAGGCTACGGTCTTGAGATTCTCGAGGCGTTGATTGAACATGCTCGAACCGAATTGGGCTGTGAGGTGTTCAGGGTTGAAACGGGTGACGACAACCAGCCATGGAGGTCGCTTATGCGTGCCGCCGGCCTCGGCCACTTTGAATCACGCCATATAGCTAGCTATGATGTCAATCAGGAGGTTTGGGCATGGAAGTTTGACGCAGGTCACTGGGAAGAGTCGAAGGCAAAACTCAAGGGAGATTCAAGGTGGCTGATTTGAACGCATAGACTGGAGAGGGTGCAGGCGTAGGTGATGATTGGGGTTAAAAACTAGAGGAAGCAAGCTATTTGACTCATTATTATTCTGAATCATACTTCCCGTCATACAGAACATTTGATCTGTTTCGATAACTGAGGGAAATGAGACATCGGGCCATTCGTATGAATTCATTTGTAATATGACAATGAGATTCATTTCAAGAACTTAAACAATGAGATTAAAACTTGAAGCAAACTGGACATGTTCTTGAGGTTCTCGACATCTCATTGTACCCGTAAGTCTCTCAACTCAAGAGCAGACAGAAGCTCTCGGACCAGCATTGGCCTTGACGTAGGCAGGAACATCTGCTGTAGCAGTCAAGGTGTAGGAATAGAGACTCTTGGGGTCAAAGGAGGTTCCCGAGTTTGCAGCCGTAGTGCCAGTGCAGCTCTTGTAGGTGTTACCAGAGGCATTTAGCACGGCGCCTGAGTCCTTGGTCAAGGGGTTCTTGGTCTTCTCGAAGAAAACGTTCTCGACACGTGCGTTGGTGCTGCCGCGAGCGTAGTGCCCGTATGAAGTGACGCCATAGAGATAGTTATTGTAAAGATGCGCTTGTGCCAAGTTGTCGGCGCTCGGGTTTCTTTGGTTTGTGTTGTCAAACCAGTTGTGGTTGATGGTTCCACGAGCCGTGACATTCTCCGTCCAGCCAATACCGAAAGTCTTGTCGTGGTTACGGAAAATGTTGTTGGAGACTGTGAAGTAGGTGGTGTCCTTACGAAGATCAACCAGGCCGTCGCCGCCGTCTTCGAAAAGGCAGTGGTCGATCCAGATGTTGCTCACGGTATCGGCCTGAACACCGTCACGATCGTTTTCCACACCATCGTTCAGGTTGGTGTGGCCAATCTTGAGGTTGCGAATAATGATGTTCCTAGCCCCGTTCAAGCCCAGACCACCTTTTGGGTCAGATTTAGTATGCGACCTGGCGATATATGAAAAGGGATACGATTTACCTTGATAAAGCTCGCCAGAAGTGCCCAATCCAATGACAGTTTTATCACTAGCGATCTTGATTTCCTTGCCGAGAGGGCTGATGGTGATACGGCCGCTGATCTTAATCACGTATTTTCCTGATGCGCTGGCATACTTCTCGAGGTCAGCTTGAGTAGTTACTGTCACCTCTGTTCCGCCTGCGCCGCCAGTTGTTCCCCCGTTCAGAGAAGCAAATCCAGTAGCAGCAACGAGACAACCGCTGGACTGTCTCTCAGTGACAGCACCCCGGGCAGCGACAATGCCTTGGATAAGTACAACTATGGATGAGATTTTCATGGTTTTGTTCCCGCTCCAGTGAAAGAAGAAAAAGAATTACTGTGAAATGTAGCTCGGATGTGCCGCGGGGTCAAGTTGGATGAGCTTAGATTCAGTGTTGATGCCCAGCTTATATCGATATTGCTATGTTTTTCACGTTCCAAGGCACACTGCGAGAAAGTGTTTTCGTGAGTACGTCAGCATCAAGTTTGGGTATTTTCGGGAGCATCATCCAGCTCATCTGTGATTGAAAATGCCTAGACCAAATGAAATCAGGATCTACGGAGTCTTTTAGTTTAGCCTAAAAATCGGTCTTGAACGTAAGAACATTTCCATATCGGAGTCCCAAGTGACAGTCCCAGCGGGGAACAAGGAAATCCAACGTCGTGGTTCATGGAAATAAACCTCTCGATAACGCCATTTCGCAAGGGAGTTGTGATCATCCAAACCGATAGATTAGCGTTTGGAGACTCGCCAAGGGTTCTCAATCCGAAGCGGGTTGAGTGTCGCATTATGCCAAGTGATTCAATATCGGTGATTAAACCCACCAGTAGCATGGAGCTAGTTCCCCGCATCGCGAAGTGTCATCGTGTATGTACAGTCCCGCCAATGAACATTCCCCTATCGCAGACCAGGATCTGTTTTGGGACGAGTACCGTCATGCTTAGATTATGATACTGATGTAGTTGCTCCTCGTGTTGCCTTCGAGTGAGTCTCTCCGGATGTTGATAGATCCCGTCTGTTGATTGGTTTGAGTAACCACGCCGAGCTGATTCTCAAAATGCAGCCTCTGGTTTGCGAAAGACTTTTGGGAAACTAGAATGACTTGTGAGATAGGGGATATCATTCTCTATGTTGAGGTATATATGTCGTGTCTCTCTATGCTCTAGTTATCTATCTTTTATATTCTATCTGGTATCATATGATAGCAACTTCTAACTTGGGAATTGGCCGTTTTTCGGTACACTCTCTACATAAATGTGCTGTTTTTTACTCATGAGGCTATTTGAAAAATCCTGCTGTTAAGACTTCTCGGTCGTCTCTGTCCTCCGCGCAAATCTAATTCCCGAAACACATGCGAAGCCTGCTAATGCCATTGCCCCGGCATAGTAAGCTGCAGGGCGAAACTTCTCAAGACCATCGACATCACCAGAGATGGAGTAAAGTCCAGAAGCAATTGGGGTACCCTTAACTAGTAAGCAAAACTGGAAGCAGTGCAGGGTGGCTAACGACTTACAAAAAAGAAACCGCAGAACCAAGTCGTCCAGACGACGGGGATGATGCTGAGTGTATTCTCTCCCCCAAAGGTAGCGCTGACGGCGATAGGCGTCAGACTGAAAAACGCACCACATCCAATACCGTTGAATATGAGGTATACGGAAAAGATGCCGATTGATGATGACAGAGGCCACACTATGAGGGAGCTTAGAGCCATGAAGAGCATGCAGATTGCCAGACTCTCGACTGGTCCCAGGAGGGTATCGGCGACCCATCCGGCGATAACGCGGCCCAGGGTAGATGCCAAGTTCCAGCAGGCAAGAATGACGATTCCAATTTCCTTGGTGTAGCCCATTGATCTCGAGAAAATTGGAATGAAGTAGGGCGGAATGAAGAGCGGGAAGCAGGAAAGTATTGTGCCGCCGACGAGCAAAAGGAAGCGAGGTTCCTTGAATCGATACCTACCACATGTCAGCTATGTTCAAAGTGTCGCTGTTTCCATTTACTTACCATTGAAGTTGACGGGAAGCCTGCTTTCCCGAAGTCATCCTCCTTGGGAGGAAGTAAGATGCAGGAATGGAAACACCCCAGAGAATGAAGCCCAGAATGCGGAATGTCCAGGAGACGCCCAAGTCTTTAACAAGGTAGTTGGCTACAACACTCATGATGGCAGAGCCCAAGCTGCCACCACCGAAAACAAAACCCATGGCCAGGGCCTTATGGTTCTTGAAGAGACCCATCGGAGCAGTCGAGACAGACTGATAAGAAATGATGTTAGCTACTATGGTCTGTGCCAGCAGGACATCTGCAGTGTCAGTGAAAGTCTTGTTGCACTCACAAAAATACAAAGGCCTCCACCGAGGCCGAAGACAAGACCATGCAGAAAGAACAAGGCGACGACATGGTTAGTGGTGAAGCTTGCGAGAACTTCACCCAGACCCATGAAGAAGCCTCCAGTCAACGCAGCCAACCGGTATCCTATCCTACTGATAATCTTGTCGGAAACAATACTGAAGCAGATCATGAAAGACGTCGCCATTGATCCAACAAATGTCAAAGTTGTTAGGCTTGATCCCGTCGTCTCAACGAGCTTGACTTGCATGATGCCCCAGGAGTAGATCACTCCGAGGTAAACGAACATGGTCAGTGACGACGCAGCAACGGTGATCCAGGCTTTTCGGTCATCGTAGATCTTCTCCCCTATTATGGGAGTTGAATCTGCGGCATGGTCGTCGCTTGAGTGGTCGGTATCGTGCCCATCTTGGCCAGGGACAACTTGTCGTTCAGGGTAGGTGCCTCTTTCGGTGTCCATCTTGGCAAGAGTCAAATGAAATCGGCGGAAGCTGTCAACAGCATACGCTTTTCGAACCGAAAGTTTCAGCCTCCTCTTGGAGCGTCTTCGAGCTTATCATATTCTCGAGCCTGAGTGGGAAAATCGAATGTTGTAAGTCGGCTTTCGGTTATCGGGTTTGCATCAGAACCGATATCAGATTTTCTCACGCGATAATGCGGTTATCGTCGTCTGCAGGTTTTATGGGGATGCCCGGAGTGGATTCTCTATTGTAATTCCTCCGATGATTTTGACGCAGGCCCACCGTTGGAAGGGCCGGTTGGGCTCCGTGTTTACGGAGCTGCTGGCTTGTCGATCCCGATGACTCTCGGATTTCAACACTAGCGCCGAACAACGAAGGTATATTTAGGAGAGTTAAACTGCCGGTTGTCTCTTTTCTCCCATCTCGTTTCGTTCAATAAAAACAGCAGAGAGAGAGAACTTACACACACATCCCACTTCAACCTATTTGCAGTTCACAGTCATTATCCCTCGCCATGGCTCCCGCAAGAGACGACGAGCTGTTCACAACAGCCAACGCCAAACTTCCCACAGTCAGTAACACCAAAAACAAGGGTGGAGAAGGTCGACTTATGCATCGGTCTTTAATCCAACACCCCTCCATGGTCGAATCAGCAAGCGGTATCTACTTAAATCTCGCGGATGGCAAGAGGGTCATTGACGCATGCGGCGGTGCTGCTGTAGCCCTGATTGGACACACCAACGAGGAAGTCATTCAAGCTATCTCGGACCAAGCCCGAAAAGTGAGCTACGTCCACACGCAAGCCTATACGACGCAACCAGCTGAGGAGCTTGCCGACCTCATCCTCGATGGCAAACCACACGGTCTTGAGAAGGCCTTCTTCGTCTGCAGCGGAAGCGAAGCCGTCGAGTCAGCCCTAAAATTGGCCCGTCAATACCATTTCGAGAATGGTCAGCCACAGAGAAAGCATTTCATTGGCAGGAAGCAAGCGTATCACGGCAACACCATGGCGACCATGTCGATTTCGACAGTCGCATCGAGAAAGATCCCATACGAGGGCTTCTGCTACCCCCACGTCTCATATGTGTCACCAGCATATCCGTACCAATACCAAAGAGTAGACGAGACCGAGGATGAATTCACAGCTAGACTCCTCGCCGAGATCGAGGACGAGTTTCAACGGGTTGGTCCAGACACTGTCATCGCCTTTGTTGCCGAGACTATGGTGGGCGCTACCGCCGGCTGTGTGGCACCTCCTGTCGGCTACATCGCTGGCGCTCGTCAGATTTGCGACAAACATGGCGCTCTTCTCATCCTCGACGAAGTCATGTGCGGCACCGGACGCACTGGAACTTACTTCGCATTTGAACAAGAGGGTGCTGTTCCCGATATTGTCACAGTTGCCAAGGGTCTCGGCGGAGGTTACGGCCCCATTGCCGGCGTTCTGATGCACGAAAAGGTCGTGTCTATGCTGAGACAGGGGTCCAACGCCTTCAACCACGGGCACACTTACCAAGCCCATCCTATTGCTTGCGCAGCTGCGTTGGCTGTTCAAAGGATCGTGAAGCGAGAGGATCTCGTCGCTCGCTGCGCTCAGTTGGGGAAGCAGCTTGAAGTACTACTGCGCATTGAGCTGATCAAATGCAAATCGGTCGGTGAAATCAGAGGAAGAGGTTTGTTCTGGGCTGTCGAGTTTGTGAAGGACAGGGAGACAAGGGAGACATTTGATCCCAAGCTGCGATTTGGGCTACGAGTCCAAGAGCGGGCCTTTGAGAAAGGGGTCGCTCTCTACCCCGGCGCCGGTACGGTGGACGGCTCGAGAGGAGATCACGTTCTGCTTGCTCCTCCGTTCACGACAACAGAGGAGGAGCTGCGTAGGATTTGTAGCGTTTTCAGGGAAGCATTGGAGGAGGTTGAAGCGGAAACACTGTAGAAGGCGGTCACAGCCCAGGAGCTTACTGAAGGTTAGGGTGGCATGTTTGCTAGAGCATTTTTAATCTGCATTTTCGTACATAATCCCTTCCATAATACCCAGTTTTCAAACATGAGCCAGTTGGAACAAAAGTGACTAGCCCATCGTGAAGATCTCTGAAGCATCGACATCTTCCAGCATTGACCACCAATTTGGCCAAAGACCTTGATCATCCATGCTGCCAACGGCGTCTATCAAGGCTTGTGGGTTTAACCCGCCGATATTCTGATTCGACTTATCGCCTGATACGTTGTTGCCCTCACTCGAGCTGACGGCACCCCGCTCAGCGTTGTTGATTTCCTCTAGATGTTGGGCAGATCTATCAACTACTCGGAACTCGTGAACAGACTGATGCAAGACACTGAAGTCAAACCGAGATCGCCCGCGGTATTTTTGGGCGTCAGATGTTGCGCGCTGGTACATCAACGATCCGTTCTGGATGGTCTTGAGCTGTTATGTGTCAGTCATGAGTAGTAGTATATCGATGGTCCACTGGGACTACATCTCCAATGGCATCAATGACTCACCCATCCGTCACCGAGATCCCAGACTTCACGGAACCTGTTAAGATATTCTATACTCCAGTTCATGTACTCTTCCGTCTTGGTGGCATAACCAGCACCAATCCTCGGGAACATGAATCCATAGAGATTGACATAGCAAGATGAGAACGCACAGAATCCAGCGAATGGCGTCATGACTGCAACGCCACATTCTGAAGCCTCTCGAAGAACGCTGGATAGGTGGCCTGCTGCTTCGAACAGTTCTTTTGCACTTTGTTCCCACCAGCCTGGGGGGGCCTCAGCTTCAAGTGTAGGGGGATCTATGGGTCCACGAGGAGTCATATCAATTGTCGGTAGGAACGGAAAGTATTCTCGCTGGAGCATGACGATACTACCGTCATTTTGGATTAGCCTAGGGAAGTGCTTGCGCAAGGGATGAGCTTTGGCAAACCTTTGGTAATAAAGCAGATTTAAATAGACGAAGGATTCGCCATAGCCAAGCGTAGCGTATGCAGCGACACTGTTGGCCGGATAGTGTAATCGATGGTGCTGCTTCGTTCTCCATTCCTCAAGTCTCCGACGCCAGCATGCCACAGGTGATGTAGGGACCCAGGGGCAATTTTCGGGCAAGCACATGCCTGGCGCTTTGCGGCCGTCGTTGAAGACGAAGGCCATGACATCAGAGTAGATGTCGAACCCATCAGCCATGACCCCAAAACTCTGGTCCAAATCAAGATATACCGAAGTTGCTGTTCCACTCGATGTGAAGTTCTCTCCCGCACCTTCAGCTTGCGCTGATGATCCTGGTCCTAAAGCAAACTCAGTAGAAGTAGGCGGACGCGGCACATTGAGCTTTGCCATCTCCTGTTTGGGAAGCACTCTCGGGTTGTATGTTCCCGAGCTCACCATACAGTCCATGATGAAACATGCCCAGAATGTCCTTGTCTCGATGGCGGGAGTGAGGCTGTTTGGCTCGCTGCGGTCTGGGATTTCGAGTGGAAATGGAGCTACTCGCGAACTGTGAAGCAATTGCATCATGCGAATTGCGATTCCTACGTTCCTTGGCGTCAGGAACATCCGAGGTAAAACTTCAAAAGTTGACTTACCACAATGCATCCAGGCCTTGTGGAAATCTCGCGTGCCCCATTCGTACAATGTGAGAATAAGCAGAGCTTGGATGACCTTGACATCTGGCGGTTGAAGGATACATGCTGCCAGGACATCACACGAATAGGACGCATACCTTTCGCTCGGAAAGAGGATTTGCGATCGCAGACGATCCGAATCCGGCTTCTGGGTCTTGGTCATTGCCAGAACCGTTGCCAACAATGCCTTACTTTCTCTCGGGCAATTGGACCCAAATGATTTCATGAAGGATGAGGGGTGGATAACGCGAAGCTCAGGAAACTTGCGCCAGAAGGCCTCGAGAGCGATGTAGACGACATCTTTGGGGACTTGCTCAAGATGATGGTCCATTTCCTGCCTGCCATCTCGATACTCCAAGCCCGACGAGGGCGTCGCCGGGCCCCGAGAATGAGGCGCAGAAAGAAGTTGTCGCTGAGACTCGACGTCTTGATCATGCGATACAGACGAAGCCTCTTCCGTCGTTCTCCGCGCTCGCTTCGCCGCCCGTCCATTCGGCGCGACGTGGGGTCTGGTCAGTACGCAGTCCGGCCTTCCCGACTTCTCGCATTTGGTGCACGGCGGGCTTCCGCTATTGACGCACTTGATCTTGGACCGCCTGCGGGGTCGGAAAAACGGGGTCAGCGGCCGTTACATCGGATCCGATCGATCGCCGCAGGCGAGGCCGGAGACCAATGGGGGACATACCGACAAAATTCGCAGGAGAGACTGGAGCGCATGTTTTCCGATGTTACGTACTTAGTCGGTTCTGGTACGAAAACCGAAAGAAACGGGAATGAAAGATTCGGATTACGGATACAGTTTTTTGGACGGGCGCCGGGGCCGGCTTTGTCATTGTGGATCTGGAACCGGTGGATCCTGGTTGAAAGCTTGCTTCTAGTGCCCGATCCTCTCCGATGAGATGATAACTTTGCGCAGCAGTAACTAGAAGACCACGATAACAACTGATCGAAGCGACCTACTGTTGAGGTCGCTAATAATCTTCGCCATCATTCAGTTTTTTGGTAGGAAAAAAGTGGAACCGAACTACCTAGATCAGCTTGTTTGTACCTCAAGACTCCCTCGAGGCCATCGAGTTGAACATGGATGGCCCCTGTTGCAAGACCATCTTATCTCAGTGAGGCGATAGTCAAATTGGACGCGATGACCCATCTTGAACCATGTGACGGAGTCTGCGCAACTCAATGCTCAGTATCGAACATCATCAGCTCTAGGAACACCGCACTCAATTCTTTTCTTTTCAACTAGAGCATCCAAGTTCTTGTGACTAACACATAGGACGAAGCCTTTGGGCTTTGCTATCTAAGCTAGGTTTGCGACGTCGTAGGCAAACATGAATCTGACCTAAGTCTCGAAATGATGTTGGTTGCACAGCCTCCGTAGCATACTGCGGAACCGTAGACATGTCCGCAATGAGTCTTGGTAAGTTGGCTGCAGAACTTCTGACTCTCTTCTAACCGCACAGGAGTGCTCATAGCACCCACAGCCCGTAGGCGATGATCGGCATTACAGGTCTTTGGTTTGCAGCCTTCGCATTTCGTTATTCTCACAAAGAATACACCACTCTCGATTGTGTGGACAGAGGCAAACCTAGACTTGAAGTAAGCAATGAGGTGTCCGCTGCCGAGAAGCCCAGACTCAGAGGTTGGCCGAGGTGATTGGAGGAGATCGGTAAGGAGAAGAGTCGCAAAGTGGCTTTGCCAAGTGGCTATATATGCCATGTAACCTCAACATTGGCCCGACTTATCCAGCCTCGAGGAACACGATTTAGTTTTGCCGGCTAGCACATAAGTAAGTAGATACTTATGTACGCGAACATCGCGATAAGCGCTTTTTCAGCCTCCTAGTAGGTAGTAAATCGAACCCATGACCGACTTGGTGTTGGTGTGCGATGAATACGAGTCAATGAAGTGAACAAGGGCTGACTAGAGGTTCGCTACGCGGCAAGTCATTTGTATGTTTGTGTTAGCAGCAGGTGGTCTGTAAATATCATGTGTTCCAACAAAATAATGCAAACATGTATAATGCGGACCACCACGTTCGACCAGCGAGCCAGAAGCTTGCCAACCTCCCACCCTTGCTTATAAATCCTCAAGTTCATTTGATAATGTAACTCGTACGTTAAGCCACCTCTTTACAAATCGCATGGCCGCCATCATCACAGTCCAGGTGATCAACAGGCTGTGGTGAAGCTGGTGGCGACGCAATACGTTCCGTCAGGGCCACTGCCAATCTTAGTGGGCTCGGCGCCACTGTTGTTTCCGGTGTACTACAGTCCAGAGTAAGCATATCTTCCTTATACATTGGAATAATTGGCAGGGGTAAATTCAACATACCCTGTCACAAATCTTGTTGTCATCTTGGCAACAGCTGGTGACCTTGCAGGTATCGCCATAGTTGGTGTTGATGCCGCAGAGGACTCCGCCGTCCTTTGCGATCACGTTGTTCATGACAATGTTGCGTGCACCTCCGTTGCCACTGCAGTTACCACAGCTTCGGACGACCTTTCCGTAGCTAGTCACGTTTTAACAAACTGTATCACGACAAAAGACGATGAGTTCGACTCACTCATTGGCGTAGAAGTTCTTGATTGAGACGGTTCCAAAGCCGTTGAATTGGACAATCTTGTCCGCAGCCTTGAAAGCACCACCGCCGTTAACGTAAGAGGTTCCGCTAGTCTGCTTCAACGTGCTGGGGTAAAAGTTATTAGCAACAAATGATTGCACAATTGACATAGAGAGACTCACAGAGCATCTTCGCAAACATCTTCCCACCAGACATTGTTACTATCCACTGTCAGTCTGCTGTTTTCCAAGTCTTTTCTTCTCGTGGTTCTCATACAGTGTGCTATAGTCAATTAGCATCAATACTCTCTTCAGGGCTGAAGAAAGACTAACCAGGTTCCCTTGCAGTGTACACCCTCTGCTTGATCAGGACCAATGATGACGTTCGAGAGAGTGGCACCAGCCTCGAGAACGAACATAGCATCAGCCTCACCTGTCTCGTCTTGCTCAGCGCAAACCCTAGCTGCTCTAGTGTCAGTATTACATCGTACACCATTCTTCTGGTCTTGTTGACAACGTACGGCTGCGATCAAACTTTTTCATGCCGCCATCGTAAGACTGCCCAGCGGAAACGGTGATGGCCTTGCTGGTAGAAGTAGCTCCAGTGGACTTGGGCAGAGTAGTAGTAACTCCAGTGGGCGTAGAGCCGCCTGCAGCAGTAGTGGTCTTCAAGGTGGTAGTTGGAGAACTACCACCGGCACCGCTGTAGGCGCAGGTACACTCCGCTGAGATGAGACTCGGCTTCTGCGAGCAGTTGGTAGCCCAGGCGGGCAGAGCGGTGGTGGCAGTCACGGTGCTCTTGGTGAAGGTGGCGCAAAAGGTCGACGCGGCGGCATTGGACTTGATGTAGCTGGCACACGCGTTCGTATCTGTGTTTAAGCAGCCCAGGACCGCGGGAAGGAGAGCAAGAAGGTAGTATTGGTGCATCTTGGCGTTGTCCGGGAGCGGGGCGTTTGGAAGTCTTGGCTCTGAAGATCAGGGGTGAAGCTTGGTGATGTGATCTTGGTTCACTTAGGGATATAACGTAGTACTTATAGCTATTGAGATTTTGATAACTCGATGGAATACGGTCAAAGATTCTCTCGTTGCTTCCAAGGATTGAAGTTACCACCTTACTTAGCATACCCTAGGCCATCCGCCATCTTCAGCCTCATATTTGATGACCGAAGGAAAAGGTTTTCCCGCGCAGAATTCCACCAGTAACGAATCATCAACGGTTCTTCACATGGATCAGTATGTAGCATAGATCGACTCTACCTGCAAACAACTTGCCTTCCCTTTTCCGAGCACCCTATATCGTATAAGCTTAGCTTGACGCAGGGGGGCTTGTCACCGGGACGCATCCGAGTCTACCCCACAAACCCGGAGATACCGCGTTAAGTTAAGATTCTACGAAGACTACCACTTGTACCCTTTAATCTGTGTGTGCGATTTCCACGTGTACACCATCAAATAAGAGTTGCCCATTTGTGGAAAAAGGCACATTGATCGAAGGCAACCCCGAAAGTAGGTTCACCCTCCGCATACATATGTGGTAGACACAGCATACCGTCTAGCATAATTTTGCCCTTCTAGTGATAACAAACAAGGTCGATCGAGTTGTTTCAACGGACTACGTCCAGCACTCACCGAAAATGGTACTTCACAAAGAAAGATAGACACTAGAGGTCGCGATGGGCAGTCGACAAACTTTACTCAGCGCTCGCGACCAAAACCGTGATTATGCTGCCTGTTTTCAATTCCACAGCTTCATCATGTGGCCAGTTCTGGGATGTGGGATGTTAGGAAGTTTGATCAGTTGGTGGATAGAATTTGTTTGTCGATGGCACATAAGCACAATAAAAGCCACCAATGATGACGGCAGACTCAACCAGGGTTCAAGCCACGTTCATAAAGAGGCCGCCATCACAAGCACTTTAAACACGGGGTGCAGCCTTCTGAAGCAGGTAAGAGTGATAGTAGGGTTACATTGAATGGTGCGCCGGATTTCATTGCGCTGTGTGATCTGTCCGCGTGGTCTTTGTCTGCGGCCTGTCCAAGTAGGTGGACTTCTATCTGTTGGGTCATATTGTAGTAAGACCCATTGCTAACTTGCCGTCTTGAACCCCGTTTTGTTATAGCCTTAAGGATCCCCGATGGCTCAAGTGATTTCTTTAGACACTCGCGATGTGCAGTTCTTGCTAAGGTATAATGCAAACACTATAGGAATTGCTTTATCGCTCTTGCCTCGTCATTGTATTGATCGCGAGTTATAGATTTTTTCCAATTACCGTCCAAGATCCTTCCGTCCCATACTTTTGGGCTTTCATAAACAAAATATCTAAGCCGTCAAGTATTGCTATATTTCGAAAATACCAACTCTCTAGCCGAAAATCCGTTTGTCGCTGAGGGTAGTTGATGTCGTTTCGTATACCCAGATGATGGATATCACGCAACTGATGCTTAACTCAGCTCTTTGAATGTCCAAGTCTCTACATCATCCTACTTAGTACCTTAGACTGTGATCAGTGTTGACCTTATCCAACATCTCAATTGCTCGATGTCAAGCGATGGACAATTCAATTTGACGCGATAACACGGCAGTCCCGGCTCATACACGCGCGTGCACCTGCCTACATGTCCGAATTCGATGTATCTTGGGTGAGGTAAATTGCCACAATACCACGAAAGACTCAGATGTCAACCATCTTCATCTCTCCAACCAGAGGTTTCAAGGTTATTTCTCTCTTAAGTTGAAGCGCACATACGTATATACTCGCGCGTTAGAAGATGAGGTAGACATAGAATAAACCCCTGTGATCAAGTTCAGTTGAACTAGTTGCCTAGCAATACTGATTGTGCTATAGGTGGCGTTTCAGGGGGTGAGATGTTCGTACTTATTTCTTCGCACATCAAACCATGAACGATCAACTGCTAAAAGGCTCATCCCTTTTCACTGGGTTAACCTTCATTTCCGACTAATTACATCAACAGCACGTAGCATTCCCCTCTGCGAATGATTGAATGATTGTTTTGTATTGTCATAACATCTTCACCTCAATGCCCAAACGTGACAGAAGCATTACTTCTTCTAAGATACATGTCGCTTAAACGCCTTTAAAATTTTCATCTTGAAACTCGTGACTCAGACTCCAAGGATACTATCTTCACTGCCTGACATACGTGACGTGCTCTGTAACACCGTCTTTGAGTTTACTTGCCCGCCCACTCGATCCAAGTTGTACGGGTTTTCTGTTCCATCTCTCGATTTTGAATTATTTGAATGGAATCCTGGTCTCTCGTGGCTATGATACTGATATCCGCCCGGCTTGTTTCGATTTGCGGCTTCTCGTAGGGCGCGAGGAGTAAAGAGGGGTTTCAGCGCAGGAACACTGGCGCATATTATTCCGATGTTGATCTCCAACATGGACCAGATGTTGATAAGGATGCTCTCCTGGAAAAGATCCTTGGCCAGGGTATATGTGTAAATCGTGTGTAACCGGACGATGGATGTTATTGTTGCGAACACGCCAACGCCGAAAATGACTCCAAGCGCGATCTTTTCTCGCCGCGGCCGGAGAATACCCATAAGTGTTTTGATAGGAAGAACGAGAATCCAGATGTCGGTTACAATGTTGAACCCGGAAGTGACTGGCTAAGATTAGCAAGAAGTCTGCCATGATTGGATGATCAGTGGGTCATAGTTGATCACTAATAACTTACAATAGAAAAAGGCGGTGGTGTTGATACACACTCCATCGACAGTCCCAGTCAGGTCCCACATCTCATATAGTGGTTGGCACTGAGACAGAGTGACGCCAATGCAAATGACGAAGAATAACAAATGAAACACAATGGTGCATATGCAGAGAATATTGAGCGACCTGGTGCCAGCTGCCGGTAGAGTCAGCACAAAATCTATTCACCATAATGTGATAGAAAGACATACCAAATCTGAGGTACATGCACAATATAGATATCTTGATTGCTGATATACAGACATAGTACGTCACTTGAATAGCCAGTGTGTTTTTCAGGAGATTTGTCATATTGTCGAGGCTCAAATCCTTAGAGGGAAAACCAATATGATTTGCTTTTCCGACAAAGATCTCTGCGAGGTAAGCGAGAGTGAAAACCATTCCAATGACCATGGAGTAATCATCGAGACCAGGCTTTCGAATAAGAACTGCTCGAACAAATGTTCGGGCAATTACGACCATGGCTACACTTCTGTTAGTTTTGAAATTGTTCGAGCCTCCAAACAATAGACTTACTTGAAATTGCTGTGAAGAAACATGATGTTATGATGAGGCTGTTCTGCCTCACTTGGTCGGAAGCCATACTGCTATGCTCCAGCGGGACATTCCCCTATAAGATCCTTGTTCTCATCGAAGACCGATGTCTGTCTTGGCTGATATAGAAAATCTTGTCTTCCTTCGTTATATGTGGATCGTCGATGGTGGTCTGGCAATGGTACAAACTGGGGGGAACGGGCAGTATTCCCTTCATACATGTACAGTAGGGCTGAGGATCAAGAGCGAAGCCGAGTGGGATAGATTGGAAGTAGGAGGGCGAACTCTCTTTTCAAACCCCATCGAGAAGCATGAAAACCAGATGAGATGAGAAGTGGGACCTTCAAAGGGGCCCCAGGCGGCATGCGACGCTGGAGGGATGGGCGGGGCCATGATGCACAAGCACAGACAACAAGCCGCGCTGCCGCATCCAGGGTGGAAGACGTGGATCGGATCGCTGGCTGAATGACGGTAGCTCAATCTCCTCACAATTTACGCGAGCTTCGACCGGTCTCCCTCGCGTACGCATTGCGTGGAGACCAATGCCCTTGCCAGGCTTGTCAGGGCTTGTCAGAGTGCGTGCGATTCGATCCCGCCTTGATGCTGCACGCTCCAGCCGTAATGAACGGGCTGCGAGAGGCTGCAGGTCTAGTGTGCAGGCAGAGCTCTGTGAGCTTTCGGAAGAGAAGGAAGAGGGCCGTTAATGAAGCCTTTCCGGAATGGGGGATTCTGCACCGAGGCTAGCGTCCGGGGGACCTGCAGCAATTCACGGAGGTTTAACTAAGGCCGGGCATGGTCTGACAGGAAACGGCCCAATGGCGCTGGAGGAATGAACTAGTCTACACAGTTACAGGGTTGGTTAGCAGTTCTGCAAAGTGGTGGCTGACTTTCGACCCCCTTCTTCGCTTGTTCCATTTCGTGTTCCAGACGGACGCCGAGGCAGTGCGGCTTGCTGGAGCTGGATAAAGGAGGGGGACCGGGCAACGGCGATCTTCACCGCGGGACCAGACGGCAGAGCGGGTGAAGATGGTGTGATGAGCGTTCATCTCGCCTTTGGCTGCGACCCGAGGCACGGGTTGTTTGATATGGTGGCCGGTGGTCGAACTTTCTCGGCTTTGGCAAACCGTAAAAACTAGGCCCCATTGACAGTGGACTGACTTTTGACGGTCTGATGATACCCAAAGGAGATAGGCTCGAAAGAATTGAGGCGGTTTTGGATAATAGGCGAAAGAACGGCAGATGAATATTCAAGCCACCACCACTCCAACTTCTAACTTCAAACACCACCCTTGCGGCTATCCAAATCCATGGAATACTTCCGCTGCGGCTGGAGTGAAGGGTGCCTTGGCTTGGGCTAGGTGCTTTGCTCCGAGTGATCTGATATGTTGCGTCTTTAGGTTCAGCAGCATCAGGGGTTTCCAAGGACAGGCATTCCGGTTACTTCGGATTCCCAGTTCCCAGTGCCCATTGACTTTGGGTTTCCCCTGGCTACAACGAAAGATGCTCGGTCTCGTTCGTTGCCAAGAAGCAGCCGATCGCAACGTCACTCAGGATAACCACCGCTGTACATGGTGTAAGAACTGGCTTTTGCCCTAAACTAGCGCGAATGGACACCTTAATCTTGCGGGAGAATGAACCCCGATCGCGATTCGATAT